CAAGGCTGTCAATCTTCACAGAAGCAAAGCCCAAACCACACCCACTGCTGTGGAGTGGATTCTGACTCACAGCGCCCCTAGAGGACAGAGTGGAACTGCTCACAGGGTTTCCTAGGCTGTGAGTCTTTAAAAAGCAGACTGCCTCCTCTTTCTCCCATGGAGTGGCTGGTAGGTTTGAACCAGCAACCTTTCAGTTAGTAGTTGAGTGCTTAACCACTGTGTCACCAAGGCCCCTTAGGACATTAAATAGGAACCAAATTAGAGGAAGTAATCAAGAAATACTGGAAAATATTGAAAATCACAGAAATTTAAAAAAGGTTAAGATTCATTGTTGAAAGCATGTTAGGATGTTTGTAAATCCATGGGGAAACCACGGTCCCAATAAAACACCAAGCAAAACCAGGTGCTGTAGACTTGACCCCGACTCACAGGGACCCCACCTGCACCAGGACCTGCACTGTGCAGGGTCTGCACTGGCTCACGTTTTGAAGATCTCCAGGCCTTTCTTCAAAGGCACCTCTAGGTGGCCTCGAACCCCCAACTTTTCAGGCAGCGTTAACTGTTTGTACCACCCAGGACTCCTTGTCCAAATAAACCAAGGTGTGAATTACTTACAGAAAACTAAACAATCTCACCTCTGGTCTTCGTTCCAGAGCTTCTTTCATTAATGGATGAAGTTCTTCTACCAGTTCTCTGTGGAGGAGAAAGGGCAGCACTTAAAATTCACTGTTATTCAAAGATGAACCCTGCTGCACACATACTACTGTGTTGTCAGTTAAGGTAAACATGGATATACAGGTGGATAGATGGGTGGGCAGGCTGAACTATTAGGTATGTATATGCAGGGGAGAGTGCCTATGACTACGTATAAGGTTGGTAGACAATGTTTCTACAAGTGTATTGGTATGGTCTGTAAAAATTCCCAGGTGTACAGTAGAGCTGACAAGGGGCAAGGTTGTAGTCACTTCTTGGCTACAGCCAGCTAGCAAGAGGGATCGAGTAGTTGAACCTGTGGGCTTGCGACCATACTCACAGGGCACATCAAGCTCAACTGGCATAACGTACCACACAAAACATTGTTCCACCTCCTACTTTGGTGACTGGCATCTTAAAAGTTTGCAAGCAGCCATCCAGATGCAATGACAGGTCTTTCCTTGTCCAGAGCAAAGAAGAATGAAGAAAACCAAACATTCATGGAAACAATTAGTCCTAGTGACTGGTACACCATGTGATCCTCAGCCTATACAACTGTGAGACCAGAAGAACTAGATGGTGCCTGGCTACCACTGTCAACCACTCAGAGGGGAATCTATGTAGGAGATCCTGCATAGAGAGGAAGAACAATGTGGAACAAAACTCAAAATCATTAAAAAGAAAAAAGAAAGGAAAAAGGGACCAGGTTTGCTGGTCTGACAGAGCCTGGTGGAACCACTAAGACTGTGGGCCCTAGCTGCCCTTCAGGTCTGGAATTGAACCCACTCCTGTGGCTTCCAGCCAAACAAAAGACTGAGCTGAACATTTACACTAGGAAGATACACTCCTTGGAGAGATCAGTCATGGGAGTCTAGAAGGGCTGTGTGTGCACAGGGAAACAGCTCAGGGGCAGGAGAGCATGGAGGGAAGGACACAGGGAAGAGGTAACTATGGGGAGGTAGTAGGAGGGGAGCTGTTGCATTGTGGGAAACTGCAGTCAATGTCATGAGACAAAATGTATGTGAGCTGCTGCATGGAAAATTAATTTGCTCTGTAAACTTTCACCCAAATCACAATAATTGTTTTTAATTTTTTTTTTTTTTTAAATTCATTGTCATTAACACCAAACTTGTCATTTACTCCTAAATCATCTGCCTTTATAACTTTGCTCTAGCATCCAGACCCCCCTGGCAGCTGGAGGGCCCAGAGACTTGGTGAACCAGCTGAGAGGTATTGGCCTAATCTTGTACTATCGCCTGTCATCCCAGTGCCCCCTTCTGTTCAATATATACACATTGACTTGATTTTGATTTCAAGTTCTGAAGACCTCGAGGGCAGAAAAGTCCACATGAACAAGGAAACAAATAGTACCTACCAGCCACTTATTAAATGTTAAAGCGCTCGACTTCAAAATGTGGAACCAAAGATCAATCAAACAGAATCTCTGCACCCAAGACACTTTCAGGCCAGTCAGAGAGAAGGAAAAAATGGACTGCAATGAGTTGATTCCAACCCACGGAGCCCCTAGAGGACAGAGTGGAACTGCCCCACAGGGTTTCCTAGGCTGTCAATCTTTATGGAAGCTGACTGCCTCATCTTTCTCCCGTGGAGTGGCTAGTGAGTTCGAACCACCACCTTTTAGCTAATAACCAAGTGCTTCAACCACAATGGCACCAGGGCTCCTTTTGAGACAAAGAGGCAGGTGCAAACACTATGATAGTACATTTTTTTTTTTTTTTTGGGTAATTTCAGACCTCCACTCCCTTATTTGAGTTATAAGATAATAAAAATGATGGCAAATAGTATAGTAGTGAGATTTTCACTGTGTAATAAAAGATGCATTGTTCATGTTTCTGTCTATCTCCTATCACATATACTTTTTTCCCTGTCCTCCTTATTTCAAAGCCTCTGTTTCATACCTGCTAACCTAACAGGCTCTCATTCAGGAGATCAGTTCTGGATGCCTATGCTCAAAATAGAGAAAATGATAAGGTCTTGCCTGTTCTGAGTCTAGAGTCTGGGTATTCTGTCTATATTATGTGCCATTTTTGGGAGCTCTGGTGGCATGGTGCCTAAGCCACTTGACCACTAACCAGAAGGCCGGAGGTTCAAACCCACCAGCCACTCTTCAGAAGGAAGATGGGGCAATCTACTTCCACAGAGATACTGCCTCAGAAACCCAAGGAGGGGTCACTATGAGTCTGGATTGACTTAATGACAGTGAGATTTTTTTTTTCTTTTTTTTGATTTGTGTTTGTTTAAAAAAGAAAAAATAAGTATGAAAATCTTCCTTTTATTTTTTTTGTTTGATTGTGATTTGGGTGAATGTTACAGAACACACCGGTTTTCTACGCAACGGTGCAATACATGTTTTCTTTCGTGACATTGCTTGCCATGCTCACATTGTAACAGCTCTCTTGCCACTTCCTTCCTATGGGTACCACCTCCCTTTATCCTCTCTCCCACCCCTTCCTGCCTTCTGGCAGGGAGCTTTCTCCCTGGGCAGACGCTGCCCTAATCCTTCATTTGCTGATAGGATGCTCTGTGCTATTAAACTTCACCCTCTGGGAGAATCCAAGGACAGAAGGGAAACACTGTGGCCCTTTGCACGGACAGACAGACAGAACACCAGCCTCTGTTCCCACCTTCTCCAGCACCAGACACCACAGTCTCTCCACCAGTGAAATGGGAATTACATGCACCCCTCTGCTTAACAGCTACCTTTTGCCACATATTTACTGTGTGCGATTTCCCATTTAATCGTCATACCAAATCTATGACATATATAATTTCTTAGTCCATTGTTTTTAATTAGTGAGATACATGTTCTTTAATTGTATTTATTATATCTATTTCACATGTGAGAAAACTGAGATCTAGAGATTTTAAGTTTCCCACATCCACATGGCTCAAAAAAACCAAACCCACCACCACTGAGTCCATTCTGACTCACAGCGCCCCTAGCGGACAGAGGGGAACTGCCCACAGGGTTTCCAAGGTTGTCAATCTTCACAGAAGCAAAGCTCAAACCAAACCCACTGCCATGGAGTCGATTCTGACTCACAGAGCCCCTAAAGGACAGAGTGGAACTGCCCCACAGGTTTCCAAGGCTGTCAGTCTTTATGGAAGCAGACTGCCTCATCTTTCTTCCACAAAGCAGCTGGTGGGTTTGAACCTCTGACCTTTTGGCTAGCAGCCCGATGCTTTAAACCACTGCACCAGAGCTCCAAGCCCACATAGCTAGTCAACTGTATAATCATACCTATCTCTAGGAATATGGAGAAGCTGAAAATTACAAGAGAGACTTGGGTTCTTTGGGGAAGAATGTTAGGTAATTCCATGGAATTATTACTGTTGCCTTCCTGTAGTATCATTCTTTGCCTTAATTAACTTTTAACCAGTAAAACACTGGTTAACTGGTGCTCAATTAGTACCCACAATTATTATTTTTTAAGGATAAAATCTGACTGTACGTGAATAATGTAATAGATCTTTTTAAGTTGCCTCTAAAACGTTGAGTACATCTTTGTTGTTGTTGCTGGGTGCCTCTGAGTTGATTCTGACTCACAGTGACCCACGTGACAGACTACAGCTGTCCCCTAGGGCTTCCTAGGCCGCCATCTTCATGGAAGCAGACTTTCAAGTCTTTCTCCTGTGGAGCTGCAGGGTGGTTCTGAACCAATGACCTTTAGGTTAGCCTCTGAGTATTTAACCACAGTGCCACTAGGGCTTCTTTACTTTTCAAATACTTAGAGCCCTGGTAGTGCAGAAGTTAAGCTGTCGGCTATTAATTAAAAAGTTGGTGGTTCAAACCTGCCACCTACTTTGTGGGAGAAAGATATGGCAGTCGGTGTCCATAAAGATGACAGCCTTGGAAACCCTGTGGTGCAGTTCCACTCTGTCCTGTAGGGGCGCTGTGGGTCAGAATCGACTCCAGGGCAGTGGGTGTGGTTTGGGCTTTGCTTCTGTGAAGATTGACAGCCTGGGAAACCCTGTGGGGCAGTTC